TTAATCTATATATATAAAAATGAATTGCTGTTCGTTAGTCACGCTAAAACTCGATAACGGCTGGACCGATTTGGCTAATTTTGGTCTTGAATTATTTGTGGAAGTCCAGGGAAGGTTTAAAAGGTGAATAAATATGAAAGTTGTTAACTATCTTTCAGATTATTTTTATGTAGATTGATAAATCTTAAGTTCTGTCAAATTAAATTTCTGAACGCAACCATAATATTTGACATTTGTCAACTAAGTTTATTTTATACAAAAATTTAGGTCTTTTATATATCGATTGGGGCAGTACGAAGTCTGCAGGGACAGCTAGTTCAGGATAAAAAATACGATTTGGCAAAAACTACTGAACCGACTGTGCCCCTCTTTGACATACTTCAACGCTCATAATTTTATAAAGTTGGGGACAAATTTGACAAATATTTCGAAAGTTATAAATTATGAAAAATTATCATTTCAAATGTTTTTTTTTTGCTTATGGAATAACTTCAACATACCATGTCTCATTCTGTAAGCATTTTCAATGCACGCAAACCATCTATGTATCACTATTTTCTATCTCGTATAGCAGTATCTGTTAACCTGTGGTTCGCGGACCCCTAGGGAACCGCGAGTATATATACGGAGAACCGCCGTCTTGCCTATTGATCATATAACAATCATAAATAAATGCTACCAAAAGTTTCGTAATCGCTACGCTTACTAAGCAGTATTTGCAGTACTAAAAAGAATGGCCTGCAATGTATCGCTTTTTTTTAAATAGTCCTTAGACGTGCTTGATTTCCTAGGGGACCATGGACGGGGAAAAATTAAAACCAAAGTTCTCAGAATATCGAGAAAACCAAAAAAATACTATTCGGCGTTGATTGTTTAAAAAACACTATCGCCCCATTTTTCCCGATACTCAGAAAACGAGAAGCCTTTTCTGTTAACTTCCCTAATACATTCAAAAAGAAAATCGAAAGTATTAATTCTTCAATTTTCTAATATTCTATTTCCATGGCTACAAGAAAAAAGTACAAACTTACCCTTAGACCACTTTCTGATTTAATATCCATTATAGATAAAACTGTTTCATACAATATAGCATTTCCAACGTTTTTACTTGTTTCGGTATTAGTGGCAACTTGCGCTAAAATATCATTCATTGCCTCAGAAGCTTCTGGATCGTTTTTACCAAGAACTCGCAATAACTTCAAAATTTTTACCTACAATAAAGTAAATAAATACACAAATATACAATTCACCCTTGCAATAGTTTATTTACTTGCAGAAAAGGGTCTGACACACCAGAAACATCGTGTTCTGGAGAATACCCAGCTAAAATGAGATTTTTAAGAATTCGCACTAAATTAGGCACAACCTAAAAAAAGAAAACTATTTTAAAAATGTTAGTTTTCTATCTATTCGAGTCTCTGAACTTATGTAGAAACTGCTCATCTTAAACCATATATGAATTAATATGCAAAAAAATTTTACTACAACGAATAAAAATATGCACAAATAAATCACTGATAACAGTAAATACAAATATAATCGAATTTAGCAACATGTAACACGTAACTAACCTTTTTAAAGTGATTTAAAGTGTCCGGACTAACTTCACACATCTCTGTAATAAGTGTGACCCCTGTTATTAAGACTCCTAAAAAGATTTTAAAGAAATGTTATTTTTGCTGATAATTATTAGAAAATTTGTTCAATTACCATGATTTTTCTCTGACAACAAACTTCTTGTTGCAGGTAAGAAAATCTCCATCAATTCAGGCACTCGTTTAATAATACGAAATGCACATAATGCTGCTTTTTTGCGAATGTATGCATTAGGAGACTTCATAAGCCTCTCTATTTCCGATGCTAAATCTCGAGCCATTTCTGGTGAGGCTATTGCCCCCAAGGTGCATAAGGCCAAACCCACCACAAACTGCGTGGTTGAATTCAAATCACTAAAAATTAGTTTTTACAAATTTTCATTCAAACATGAAAAATTAAAATAAACTAAACTGGATAAATAGACACATATAGCAGCACTATTAATTTGGATTCATACTACGGATTGAAAATGATTTCACATTTTGTTTTTTCATTGTCACTTTTACTATAACACATACTTCATTATGATAGAAATATAATTACCAATACATTTGGCTGATTTGATAACTCAATATCATCATTTAAGCGAAAAGCCAAAAACATATTTTCAAAACCTTTTAATTCTCTTAATGATAGATATTAACTATATGCGAGGGTGTAAAATGATTGTTATCTACTACACTTGTGACTTTTCTGTGAGAATTTACTATTTGTTTAATCACCTGTAGTTGTGGCGACCACAATATTCTCTGGTAGCAATTTATAACATCCTCTTCTGTAGGTCTTTCAAAGTTCATTCCGTCCTCTATTGGTGCCGTTAATAAAGCATCTCCATATTCCCCAATAGCCCAAACGGCTACTTGTGTCAGAGGTTGTTTATCACAAACATCTACAGAAAGTGCTTGCCATAACTGCAAGGTTATATATGCTTGTTGTGATGTAGTTTCAGATATAAGCTGAATTGTAGACGATATAACGTCATCTCTCACGTAATTTCCAGCCTAAAAAATTATTTTACGAAAATTACATAATTATAGATAAAAGTAAATCAAGTAAATATAAGATTTTCAATGATCTTACCCTGTTCATTAGTAAAATTTGAAAAGATTGTTACAAAAAGAACTTTTTAATGCTTCAATTTTGTTTTAATCTACCAGTACAATGTTTACGTATTATTAAAAAATACATCAACTACAGAATGATGTAATGAAGCATCAAAAAACTTTGTACTCCTTTACGTTTATTTAAAAAATGAGACGCAATAAAATTTAAGAAGGCTGTAGTTTAACAAACTAATAAAGTACCTTAGATCATGAACAAAAAATAAAATTACTTAAAATGTTTAATATTTGGTTTATGATTTTACAAACTAAAGAAAATATGGAATTTTTTGTTTAAATAAAACTAATAGAAATAGAGCACTTACTGCAATTAATACTTTCAATAATGTATCCAAATGCCACCTCTTTGTGGGAGAGAAGCGTTCTGCTGCAAGAACAATGCCCGAGGAACAATGTGCTTTAAATTCTGAATCAGATTTTTCTAAAAACGTTAATAGTTCCTTCATCATTGTCCTAATATTTTGACCATTTATAAGAGCAAATGACAATTCCATTGCTCTCCGCCTAATTGAAACGTCCGGATCTTTAAGACATTCCAATATAGTCGATCTGTGTCTTTGAACAGCCGATGTATCGATGTAAACTGTCTTCAATAAAGTATTCAAAGCAACATATCGGATGTTTTTGTCATTATTTAATAAGAATCTTCCCAAAATGTTAATTGCCAGAACCTATATAAAAATCGAACTTTCTACTAAACCATTTAAACAATAGTGGAATTACACTTATCCTAAAACGTTATGCATTCTGATCTTAATAGATAAAAGCCGAAAAATCGGATTTCTTTAGTTTTTTAATATTCTGAAAAACTACAGGAGAAAGAAAATAACAATGTATAAGCGGTTTGTGTACATTGAAAATACCCACAGAATTTTCGAAATAGAGTTGTATAATCAAAATCGATCTAAAAACAACAACAACGAAACGCTTTCGTTAACAAGCTATGCAAAATTCTGGATCCTATAAAAATCATTGTATGTTGAGTGCTTTCTGCTTTGTCCTATACACATCATTTTGAAACCGTGTCTTTTTATTACCCCACCTATTAAAGGTATAGTAACCGAATTTATATTTCATTTAAGTTGTGTTGAACAGTTGTATTTGTCACTAACGATTAATGAAATTGATGTATGAATTTTCTTCTTTCTTGTTTGGAAGTCGTAGGAATCGTTTGTAAAACGTCAGGTGTACTTGTTCAATTTCCTCACTAAATTTTAACTTCCAAAATAAACCGTCGCTTTTTACATATTAAATAGTAAATATTTGATATATTTGTAGAAATTTAGTCACAGACACTGCTAATAATAGGTTGTGACACGAAATAAAATCTAAATAAACTGAAAAATATTATAGTGATAGAATAATAATATATAATATAATATATATGTAATTAATTAATAATAATAATAA